TAAATTGCTTAGTCTTCATTCAGAGGCCATTTACAAACATCTGCATCTGTTCATTCTAATCCATATTGTGAGTGGGACATGCCACCAATAGCCTTTTGAACCTTTTGTATGCATCACTTAGTGATTCCCCTTCCTTCTGCTTAAAATTTACAATGTCATATCTTTTGCAAATATAAACTGAAGCAGGAAAATACTCATTCAAAAAAGTCATTTCCATTTGCTCCCATGTCGTGATACTTCTAGCAGGTAACGAGTAAAACCATTCTTCGACATCTTCGGCTATAGTGAATGGAAACATCCTCAATTTTTTCACTTCTTCGGTATGCTTCGATCTTGAGTGTAGTGTTCATGGTAAGAAACCTTTGCAGATGTTTGTTCGCATCTTCATTGATTCTTCTTACGAAAGGTCTCTTCTCCAACTGATGAATGGTTGATGGGTGCAACTGAAAGTTTGGGACATTCACTAGTTGATTGACAATGGTTAAACGAATCAAAGAAGTGTTTACCCCTCCATAATCTCCAAGAAGTCTTTCTTTTTTTTCATCCATTGGTGGATCTTCTAACTCTTTTTCAGATTTTGTGTCTGAGTTTTCTGCTCCTGAAGCTGTCATCCTTGCTTGCGTAGCTCATCTGCGTCTAGCGTGCAAGGATCATTCTGGTTCTGCGTCAAAAGTAAAATCAGCTGAGGAGTTTCCTTGCATACACAGATTAGACACAAATTAGTAGAAAAATTAAATAATAAAAAAATTATCCGTAAAGAATCAAAAATTTAAAACTGAGAAAATTCAAAGTTTTAGCCGCAGATCAGCAAAATTTCAATTGAACTAAATCTACGAACTCTGTTATCTTTGGTAGTCCCTGACAACGGAGCCAAAAACTTGATCAGAAAAATAGCAAGTGTATTATTTTTCCTCTATAGTAATAAGGGATAAAGTCCTAAATATCGATCTCAAGGACTGCTTGAGGATATAGAGTTCTGAATTCAATTCAACTAAACAAAAGGTTGGGGGTTTTGGATTGTTTGGTGAAATTATAAAACAATTTCACATAAAATAAAGAAAGTAATTGAGTGGTTTAGAAAATATATGAGTAAACTATGCTAGATATGGTGTATGATCTGACTCAGTAGCAACTCTGAATTAACACTGCAACAACTTATTTTAACTAATTAATTACCAGTTCTTTAGAATGTTTACATCTATGTCCTTAGTGAGAAAACCTTTAATCATTCACCCTAATTCCTATGTCCATAGAGAATTACAGATGAAATTAAGCAATCAATTATCAAGAATATTCTGGTTTCTATAGGGTATTCCTAGTCCTAAGTGATATCTACTATAGAATAATCCAAAGCAAGACATTGACAACGACGGTCCAGCCTAATCATTAATTGAAAATCAAACCCTGTTTGTTCCACAAGGCAAGCATTAAGAATAGCTAGAGATCAAATCAATTATGAAAATAAAGATTGTTATTGTAATACTAATATCAGAGTTATTACAGATCCAAATCAGGGACACCCCCTTAGCATTAAGGGGTTTAGCTACTCATACTGTTCAAAAGAAATACAATATAAAAATTAGACATTACAAGGATTGGAATGAACTTGGATCATCAATTGCTTCCACTCATGAAAATATTTCTCTCTACAAAAACATTTTATTCTCTAATCTTCTATCGTGTATTTTTTCCCCAGTCAAAAGTCCTTTTTTTCATCGTCAAAACTCATCTAAATAGTTAAAATCCAATAATAGCAGTGGGAAATGCCAAAAAGACCCTCACAAGTCAATACTCAGTGAAAAATTAGCAAAGAAAGAAAAATCAACGTCTGAGTCAACACGACTTGTGTCAGCTGACACGGGTGGCCGTGTTGCCCTGCTGTTTCCTTCAAACTTTCACTTCATGCATGCTGACACGGCCTGTTTCAAGTGACACGGGTGCCCGTGACAGCCCTCTGTTTTTTCCACATTTTTACGCAAGTACCAAACTTTCAGGCACGTCCCGTGTCAACTGACATGAGTGACCGTGTTAGATCTCCTATAAGATGGGCAAATTTCCACCGAAACTACGTATTTTTTCTCTTTCTCGCACCGAGTTCTTATTGAATGCTTATCTGAATCTAAAAACATTAAAGAGACACAACCAAAGCATAAAATATGGAAAAGGAGAAATAAAGTGATTAAACATATAACAAGATTAATTAAAATTAACGGCAAAAGAAAGCATAAAAACCACCGATCAGGAGGTTTTAGGCGGCCACAACAACGTGAAAATTATATGTGTAACAAGATAACACAAGAGATTAGAAAAACGACAAAATAGACTAAGGAGAATCAATAGTTTTTGAATATTCAGGGTAAAAAATCGTGATGGTAGAATGAAAGCGTTCAGAGTAAAATTAGAGTAAAAAAATAAATGTTTTAAAGAACGGCTTATGTGTAAAACTATTGAAATTTGAATATATATATATATATATATATATATATATATATATATATATATATATATATATATATATATATATATATATATATATATATATATATATATATATATATATATATATATATATATATATATATATATATATATATATATATATATATATATATATATATATATATATATATATATATATATATATATATATATAAAATAAACCTTAAAATTATATTTTTTATAAATTATAAATTTGATTTAAATATATAAATATTAGCTATTCAGCTTAATATGCAATGTAAGCTAGGTAGTGTAGTGGTTAAAAAGTTTGTTTTTGTCTCAAGGTTAATGGTTTGATCCTTAATGCCTACACTTTTACTATTTAGATGTATTATACACACAAAAAGTGCTCAAATGTAAAATTATTTCTCTACCTTCTTTTTTTTATTGGGTCAATTTTTAAAATTAGCACATAGCCTCTAAATTGTAGGAGACAGCTATATATACACACACACACAAAGAAAAAAAAAAAGAAAGAAACACAAGAAATTTAGATCAAGTGAAATGTGTTAAATATGAAGAAGATAAAATTTTGGTTCACGAAAATGATATAAAAGATAGATCGAAAAATATTTCTACAATCTATTTAATAAAGAATATGATATTTCACCGGATTCAAATAAGGTGAACATTAGAGAAAATGATCGAAACTATAACTACTATTGTTCTATTAAAACACAATAGGCAAAACAAGCATTAAAAAGGATGGCATTGTAAGGTGGTTGGGTAAAAAAACATACTTATTGAGTGTGAAAAATTTGGGAGATAGAAGCATTGAGTGGATCACAAAACTTCTTAACAAAGTTATGAGATCAAATCAAATATGAATAAATAGAGAATTAACACTTTAATTTCGATCTATAAGAATAATGAGGATATATAAATTTTTGCAAATTATTCGAAGGTTAATCTTATTATGAGTCATATTGTGAAGTTATGAGAAAAATTAATTGAACATAGACTAAGAAAAAACCTCAGTCATTGATAATTAATTTAGTTTTATGCATGGGAGGTCGATCATAGGAGCGTTTTATTTACTAAGACGTGTGATTGTAAGATGGATCAATAGGACTTACACTTACTTTTCATGGATTTAGAGAATACATAGGATAGAGTGCATAGATATATATATTTTTGAAAGCCATAGAGAAGAAGGAGATTATGATTGTCTATATTTGATCCATCTAAAATATTTATGATGAATCTCGACAAGTAAAGACAAAGTGGAAGAGGAAGACAATTTTCCCATAAATTTTCACTTTAATTTTTATGTACTTACAAAAACGCTTACAAAATCTAGCATCTAGATGCATACTTTTTGCAAAAGGTGTAGTAGTCATACTTGGAAATTCGATGGAGGAATTAAACGGGAGGTTAGAGACTTGGAGGAGAGTCTTTGAAGTGTATAACTTTCACTTGTGCATATGTAATACGGAGTATATGTAATGTAAATTTCGCAAAAGAAAAATTGTTTATAGTTAGAGGTGAAAGTTGAAGATGACATTATATCACTAATTATGCGGTGAAAGTTAAAAGATGACATTATATCACTAATTATGCGATTTGAATGTTTTGGGTCCATAGTACAAAACGACAGAGAAATAGAATGTGACATAAATCATTGAATTCAAGTTTGGCGGTTAAAGTTGAAGAGAATTTCAGACGTTTTATATGACATGAAAGTACTACTCTTTTTGGAGAGAAATTTTGTCGAACAACCATAAGATTGATGATATTGTACGAGACAGAATATTAAGTTGTATCTTTTTTTATAGAACTGTGTGGTGTAGTTATATCCTAGGATGGTGTTGTTATATCCATATAGTCGACTCAATTTAAAGGGATAAGGGTTAGTTAGTGATTAGTTCTATTCATGTAGGCGACTCAAATATGGTTGATTGTTGTTGTTATTATATTTAGTCATAATTCATATTAAATTACAAATTTATCAACTTTTTTGGTCAAACATATTATTCTACATTAGTTTTTGTTATATTTAAATGTATGATTATATTTTTATAATTGAAAAATGATGAGATATAAAGTCTGATTCTCTAAAATATGATTTAAAATCAAATAATTGAACTCAAATGATTAACAAACTTTAATTAAAAACGAATTGTTCAGAACAATTTGGGTAAAATAATTTTTGGTCAATTTTTATTATCTCCTGAGCAAATTTTTGATTACTAAAAATAAGTCCAAGTAGCAAATCAGATTTAAACTTTAAATTTTTTATATAATCAATTAACCACAAGCAAAACTATATAGTTCAATAAATATACTTCATGCCAAACAAAGTTGCAAATGTCTCAACATTCCATACCACTAAGCAGAAATCAAGTCATGTGTAAGATAAATGACTATAAGTCATTGATTTTTTTTTATCATGTTTATTATTTTGGATGCCAGAAGAGAAACATGGAGAATAAAGATAAAGACACAACCAAAAAAGAGGGTGCAAGAACCATTCATTCATCAATAGACACTGAATCCATGCTTCATGAAGCCTTCAGTTCATCCAAGCCAAATCGGGCCTGCGCCAAAACAACAAGTTTTTAAGTTCCAAGATCCTTAAAGAAATTAATATAGGATTGTTTTTAACAAAAATATTTACCAGAAACTTGTGATTCTCTTCAAGGAAAGGAGAAAAGGTGGTACAAAATTTCTCTATGTCAGCATTAACATCGCCACCTCCCTGTATCACTTCCATGAATTTCTTCCTGTCAGGAGCAAGCTTCATCGCTACCTGTAGGTGAAGTATTTATTATGTTACAAAAGCATGTTACCGTATACTACATGAAAACTCGTAAAAATAGAAAACAATCCATTACAGAGAAGCTTGAACTAGCAAGCCATCCATGCCACTTCTTTAGAGTCTTGTTATAGGAATCTGTACAGGCTTGTGACATTGACCAGTCTGTATGCTCAATTAAGTTCCGGAAAAGTGCCACCAAGAAATCCATTGCTCTGAAGATTTTACAGGTCAGAGAAATAAATGTAAACTATGAATTATCCAGAGCTTCATAAGTTCAAAGAAAATTGAAGAAAAATAAAATGCTTTATAATTGAAGCTCCTGAAAGTATTCACTATTGAACTGAAAGATTATAAAATTAATATAAATCTTCCCTAACATCTTGAAAAGTGAGTCAATCAGAACAAATGAGAAGTTGGGGCTTTTGATCGTATATGAGAATGAACCAGGCTTGGTAAATGTTGGCACGCAAAAAAGGTTATTGGATAATATAATGGCAGATGTGCAATGATAGAAATCCACATCTAGGAAACTTGCATATTGACGTTCCTGTTCTTTATAGAATCTATATTCATTATGTCATGATGATATTACTTATATTATGACATATTTCTCTCCAAAATAATTATTTTGAAGTCTTATGCATATCATGATGATACACTTTTTTCCTGATCTTTATTTTGGCTGTTTATTTACTCATGAAAAAAAAAAAAAAACTCTGCTTGGAGTATTACAATGTCAAGAAATCGTCTTCTATAAAACGAGAATTGAGAATGCCATTCCAGATAGAATTACAAGTTAAGCAGTAATTGGATGGCATTCATTACCTTGTAAGCCAGAGAAGCCCATTGGTACAACTGGATGATGACTTGGCAGTTTTAGTTTCAACCTCTACTTGTACCAAACTATACAGGTAGTTGAATTTGGCTGGACTAGATAAATATTTAGATTCCAATCTCTGCCATGAAAGTCAACATAGTATAGAGTAAGAATACAAAGCATCTGAATTATTGAATCCAATAGTATTTACTTATGGCACATACAACATACCAAAAGTTTTATAAAATGTAAACCAAAAGTTGTATAAAATGTAAAGTCTTAGAACTTAGGTTAGGCCTGGCTCAATCTTACAAAAACGACTTATAAGGTGAGGGTTGTCCAAACCTTATAGACACTAATGTGAGACTAAATTCACCCCTTCACACCCAACACGAACACGATGAAGGTGTTGGAGATTGCACAGAAGGCAGCCCAAATGCCACAATTAGGCAGCTAGAATTCCAACATCCCCCTCACACTCAGGCCTCAATGAGCTTGAAGCATGGACAAAGCGGGAGGGAAGCCCAACAACAAATCTAACATAGACTTTAATACCACCATAGAATTTGGGTAAGGTTTAATTCAACCTTACGAAACAAACTTGTAAGGTGAGGGCTGCCCAAACTTTACAAGCACTACACAAGCCATATATCTAGACAATGTGGGACTAAATCTACCCCTTCACACCCAACACATTGAAGGTGTTGGAGGCTGCAATGAAGGCAACTCAAATGCTGCAATTTGGCAGCTAAGGGCGGACTGAAGTGAAGGCCTAATTTCCAACATATAGCATAATCATATATAAGCCCGCTACACATGAATTTGAAAAATGAATCTACGCCCAATTTATACCACAAGGTATGGCAAAGCCATATAACCATGGCATGTTCATTTAAGAAAAAAATATTACGTTGATTTAAAGCTGCAAGCAATCATATGAATGATATGATAACACGCATATATAAAAAATAAAATAAAAAACAAAAATAAAAAATAAAAAAAAACACGATAGAAACAAGTGACAAAACATACTGATATATTGCCACCTATGTCAGATTTAACAAGGGTCATAGCAGCTCCAAACTTATCTGCCATTAGAAAAAAGCGAGTTCAGCCAATAATGGTACAAGTACTCATATTATAGTACAGTTGAAACAAAGACCAAGCATCAAATTGCAAATGATTTGCAATCTAATCATGTTTTACATGTTTAAGTTGTAGAATTTAGATTGTAACATACAACTTTTACAGAACAAAATATACAGGTGTGTATGTTTTTGATAGAGAAGGGTTCACGGTCCTCCTGTTTTCTACCCCTTTTCCTCTTAATGAAATATTTATGTATCAATAAAAAAAGATCTAGACACTTACACAACCAAGAGACAAAAACAGTATGCAAAGTGTTTACATATTGCTAAGGTATAAAAAGAGAAAACGTCTCAAATGCAGGGTTATTGGATATACAATTCCCTAATATAAGGAGTAAGGTTAAGGGACTGGCTCAATAAAGATACAATGTCTTATAAGAAGCCGATAGTGACTATTTAGTTACAGGCTTCAATGCTGCATAGACTTGATTCGCGATATTAGAAAAAATTTATAGTAGATAAAAGTATTTCTAACATACATTTGATTATTCAAAAGGACCACTCTATGTTCCTCTCACAAAATGAAACACATCAAAATGTCGACTAAATAAGTTTTACTTTCACTATCCTTGTCTTGCAAGAATAACAAAGTAAAGGACCTAGAGCATGTACCTATAACAGGAAGTATCTGCTTGCACACTTCCAAGAAAGGCTGCGACAGAATCTCTCCCTGTTCAGACTTAACACTCTTTATTCCTTCCAATGCAGGAGCGAAAACAGTCCCTTCCATTTTTGTGTTTTGCTGCACATGACATGGCCATAACTCAACAAATATGCAAGTAAAAGTTTAACAGACAAAATCTACATAAAGCAACTCCTATCTTACCATAAATTTCAGAACCAGAAATCAAGAAGATAAACACAAATCTTTCATCAGTAGAAGAAATAATCAATGGTAAATAGCATAGGAAGTATACAAACTCACACCACTAAAAGGATAGAAATAAATGAAGCAAAGCAGCTTAATCTGAAACTGTTTAAACAACGCATCACAATCATAAAATTAAGGCAATGAGTTGTACTAAGTACTCTCCATTTCCCATGATGCTTATCTTAAATTATCCTAGCAACAATAACAACAACCAAGCCTTATCCCACTAAGTGGGGTCGCCTACATGAATCAATGGATCAACTTTCGCCATAACGTTCTATCCAGGACCATGCTTCCATTAAAATCATAGATCTCGAGATCTTGCTTAATAACTTCTCTTATAGTTTTTCTAGGTATTCTCCTTCCTCTAGTTGTTTGACTTCTCTCCATCTGATCTACTGTCTTTACCACAGAATCTTTTCTACAATCTTTTCTACTACAGGTGCTACCCCAACACTCTAATATTGTCATTTCTAATCTTATTGTCTTACCACACATCCAACTCAACTTCTCTCTCTGCAACATACTCAAAATCTTAAAATCATCACAATTTATTTTCCTTGCATAATTGAACTACAGTTTTAATTACCCATCACCAAATGCAAATCAAAGAACACATAAGTACAAGAATATGAGCATCTCAATTAAAAAAAAAAAAATTTTACTGAAATAAAATATCATAGCTCTTCAATTGGGGGAAAAAATAAACCTAGCAAATGCAAAAGTAGAGGATCAAAGCAGCAACTGAAATGAGTTGAGGTGCAAGCCCACAACTTTTCAATATTAAAAACACAGATCACAATTACAATTGAGAAATTGAGAAAGGCTTACATGTAAAACAAACTCGAACAGCGATGATCTGAGAGTGGCAACAATCGAAGGCGCAAATCGAGTTTATAGGAAAATCACTTTTTAGTTAATTAATATAAAAATAACTTATTTGTCCGTGATTTGGGATGAGATGATAGAAAATATTTGGGTGTGTTTTTGGTTCATTGCATTATTCTCAATTTCAGATATTTTCTTTCATAACGTGCAAAAGTGACTCCCACTACGAAGTGGACCATATTTTTATTTAATTTTTTATAAATATTTAATTAATTTTTTAACTAAATAATGTATTTATTTTTTAAAATAAAACTCAATAAATTAAATGTTTTATTTTGTTTAATAAGATCTTGTTAACAGTGTTAAGAAAATATAAAAACTAATTGGTTTAAGAAAATAGTTTTAAATTTAAAGACATTAAATACACAAATTTCAAAAACATAAGAATGTCATTTATTTAATGTTATATTAGTTAATTAGTTATATACTCATGAGCACGAGTAAGTATAAGAAACTTTTACCATAATAATTCACTTTTTCAAAAAAAAAAAAAAACTAAAATATCTCACTTTTCAATTTATTTTTCAAAGTATCCCATTTTAGAGTATTGATTGTATAGTGGGGTCACGTGGATTGGCGATCCTTCACAAGGGCGTTAGGGATGTCGCCAATTGGATTGGAGACACCATATGGTGCTGTTAATTCAATTGACGACTGAGTCTTAATCTTAAAAGGGAGTCACCAATTGATATGGAGACATGGTGTATTATGTAAAAAAAATTAACAAAAATAAATAACATTAATTATTAATTAAAAATAATATTGCATAAATTAATGTTGGCGATCGGGTTTGTCATACCGGCCACCGGTTCCACATTCCCTAGGCACCCTCACTCGCTCACTTCGTTGCACTCGTTCCATTCGTTGTTGATTCACTCTGGGAGTTGAAGTCTCAAGAACATTCTCACCTGATTCCTTAAGAATTTCTTGCATTTCCATGAAGCCTTGTGCGTTGAAAGTGAGTGCGCGACCCATGTCAGAGTGGTTCGGATGTGATGAAAGGATCATTGGTGTGTGGCCTGGACGATTGAAGAGGGACATTGGTATAAAGGATTTGTTGGTGAAAGGTTGAAATGGTAGTGATGTTTGAAAGTCATAAGGTTGTTGGGATGTTTGAGTGTGTAGGTTAGGGTATGATGTCTGAACGTTTTGGCTATGCAAAGATGTTTGGGCGTTATGGCTATGGTATGATGTATCCTCATTTTGGCTATATCTTGATGTTGTGTTGGGGGCATAGCCATATTGGGTTTCTTGATAATAGTTATTTTCTTGGAGATGGTGTGGGGACGCTCTTGGTATTGCGGTTAAGTGTTTGCCATGTTTGGGTGGTGGATTTGTGTGTTAATGGGTTGGTAATTTTGTAGGGTAGGGGGTTGTGAGTAACATGGCCGATAATTTCCCGGTGGGTTATACACTGAAGCTTCTTGTGTGTAGGTGGTTTGTCGTGGGTCATATAGATGCCTCTCATCGGAGACAGGTCTAGTTGCAACTGATATGTACTAAGCCATATAATTATTCGTTGGTATAGATGGGGTTGCCATTGCGGGGGCACATAAAACATGGGCGTTGCGGTTCCTCCATTTACGACACTCAGATTTTGCAAAATCCTTCCGGTCGAGATAGTCCCATTAATCATTAACTTTTTTTAGATGTCATTTATCGAGGTCAACTGCGGGACCTGGGATGTTTTTATGCATTTCAAATTGTAGTTTGACACGATAACTGTTGTGCATCTCCACAATGGTGAATCTGATGATCGGCACGCACGCAGTCCAAATTGCTGCATCTTTCTCTCTGACACATGCAGTCCAAAGTCTAGTTGTAAAAATTCAAAATATTTAAATAGATATAAATCGAGAACAATTTCAAATAACAATAAATATTTGTTGAGATGTCTATTGTATCAAATTTGATTACACAAAATAAATTATTTTAATCTAGTATAACATCTAAAATAAAAAATTACACAAATATTTTATCAAAAAATCATCATATTCAACAACTTCATGAATATCTATGAGAACAATTCACAACCTGTTAAGAAATAATGAACATTAAAAATATGATTATTAGAACGACATATATAAATATATCACATAGAGCTGGACAAATTTTCTAGATCCAACCCAAACCGCTCAATGCGCAAGGCCCAAGATGCAAACGGGCGGTTCTAATTGGGTTGACGGGTCCATCGATTTATTTTACTGGTTTATCACGAGTATTGATGGTTCGATTCAGTTGATTTTTCTGAATCCATTGTAAACCAAAACCGACTGGTAACTGGGATATCAATAGGCAGGGCTTTGGTGCCTTTATGGCGCCAAAGGTGTCATGCCTTTAGTTGATAATTGTGAGTTTTTTATGATAAAAAATTAAAAAAAATTAAATATAATGATAGAGAACACTTGGATGAGAGAGACACACAAAGGCATGTGACTTTGCCGCCATAAAGGCAGCTAATCCATGCCCGATATCAATATCATATTTCACGATCATGACTTAATTACAAACTGACAAAACAAATTTTTTATTCCCTTGTAAAATGGGTGGCTAGTATCATATTGGGCCTAATTTATATACACTGGAAGACTGAAAAATAAGCCCAATAGATTATTCATTCTACTATAAATACAATGTTACAATGTTGCCTCTCACAAAACCCTAGTCGCAGAAATTAGATTTCATCTTCTTGTTCTACAACTCTCATATCTTTTCATATTTATTTTATTTAAAGAATTGAGATGAAATGTTCTTAAAATATGTTGAACCTAACAAAGAAAAATAATTTCAACTTGTGAAGAAAAACCTAATATGAACTATTTGTTACTAACCCACCGAATCCGAACTGAAATTCGTCAAACCCGCAGACCCAAAAACCAAAAAAATCGAAGAAAACAAAATTAATGGTTGAAACTAGGTTAGTATTCTGCACCCGCGGTTTGGGCTGGATGACGTAAGTGGGTCTGAATCCGACCGTTTGTCCAGCCCTACACCTATCAAATGGGAATGAGAAGTAATTATAATATATAAAAGTGTGAGGAAAATCCAGAAGAATTATTTTCTCCATGTTACTTTAGTAGAGTCGTGCAGAAGCCTACAGATAAAGTCGGAGTTTCTGTGTTCTTCAGATTAATGTTTAAGGGACCAATAGGACCGAGTAAAGGTTGGTGCATAATGGAGGTTTGACAGAATTATTGATTATGGAAGAGTTAAGTCAATATCAGGTGGATCTTACAAGATCGGCAAAGCAGATGCCGTATACAACAAGAGAATATCAAAATAACAAGGCTAACTATTTTCAAGAGTATCTTGTATCAAGTGGTTGTATAATTTCAAAAAAAAAGTTGTCATATTATTATTATTATTGGAAGTGTAGTGGTATATTTGTGAAATATCCCAAATAAGGGCGACGCAAGGGTTCGCACCGCATGAGATGACGCCTGGGCGCTACCTTTGTAGCACGGGGGTCGCCCTCCTAAAAAGACACATGCATAATACCGTTATCCTTCCATCAGTTATGCATACTGAGTCATACTATGATTCTCTGAAGAATAGGTAGTCAACAACCTCCCTCAGTCAAGGGGAGCGGTTACCACCTTTTAGGGTTTCCTAAGTCTTAGGCCCAAAGGCCTCTGTAAATACTTCTCCCTTGACGGGAGTAAGACAAATGATTACACCCTTAGCTTAACGCTTATACATAGAGTATTTCACCTCATGTGAGTTAACTTCTCATACCACCATAAACACCGTAAAACCATCATACATGGTTTCTCGCCACCATGGGCAATCCCTAACCACCTTAAACTGTTAATAAACCTACTAAGGCCTCTGATTATCTTGTATACTTGTAGGGATACCACACACACATTTACTTTTTTTTACCAATATAGTGGCGCCCACTATAACACCCTAAAATCCCAACTCTTTATTTATTAAATAATTTAATTAAATTCCCTCAAATAGGGCATTAC